ACCTCAGCCTGAACAAACAAAGAAGATGAAAACTTTTGAGTATTAAAGGTTAGCAGCAATGAAGTCAGCTGCTCAACTATTTTGAGGAGCTTCAGAACTATTTTTGGAGCAAAAAAGCACAGAATTAAAATGCAGTAAATTTCAAAACCCTTATTCCTTTAAAAGGTACTGGGCATCTATTGAGGAATCTGTAGTTATACCAAGTGCACATTAAATGGATGCACTAAGCCTCCATTAACAATATTAAAAGCTGGAATCCATAGTAAAAGTTAAGCATATACAAAAGTATCATGTTCAGAATAGAAAGATGTGTATTAAAACTGACTAACAGATAAGCTATTTGAAACCTGAGCACCCTCAAAAAATGCTCTTCTTTCTATCTGCACACAAGCTGTGTATTAAAGAGTCTGGTTTGCTTTGAAGTACATTCTGCTTTCACATTTCTGTTCTCGGAAGACTGGATTTAACCCTCCAAATATTAAAAAAAAAAGAAAAAAAACAGCCTTAGATACTTTCTCTTTTTAAGTCAGAACTTTCCTGCTCTGACCTAAACATGAAAGTCAGTATTAACGGCAAACATTCATTACTAATGCTCCTGCAATTTGTCTAGCTCTTAAACCACACAAACCAGGTATATTCTCATACTTCCAGCGGGGCAACCACAGACTCATCTGCTGACAAAACAACCTACTCTTCATTGTCCTAACACCACACGCACATTCTACAAAGACATCTAGCAGCCACAGGGCCTTTCTGCATCCAGCAAAAGCTCATCAGTGTAGTGTACAGTACAAGTCAGACTACAAAAGACTTTCACCTGGAAGAATAATAAAATGTATTCATAAAACTCAGTATGAAATACAGGAAGTACTACAAGCACATCATATAAAGTACTGTAAGTACGTCAGGCAAATCAACACTTGTCAGATCAGGAGAGTCACGTTGAAAATTAGAAGTGAGCATAGAAAAAATTTCTTTAAAGCAATTAAAAATAAAACTAGGAGATAAAGGTCTATTTAACTAGTTGCACACGTTTGCACATGATCTAGAAGTAAGGAAACAGAAAACAGAAACTGGCAGGCATTTAAAAGTAGAAACAACAGTGATGCTAAATAATGAGTGAACTAGTCAGATGAAGGCTATCAAACAAACTAGCAGGTATGTATATTGCAACTTTAAAAAACAGGTGAAATAAACATTAATGAAGTTCCCATTTGACGGACTGGATTTTTAAAGGCTTGAGAAGATTGTAAGATAGAAAGAAACCACAAGGAACCTAAAATGCAGTTTTAAGCAGGCTGTACACCAAATCTTCAAATTGAGAAATAACGGAAAGTTTCTGTGATACTCACTAGACACGTGCATTTTACAGAGGTTTCGCAGTCCAATCTATCCTAATCTCCAAACCACAAGTTTCAAATAACACAGATAACTGAAGACATTAGAAGTTAGTACTGAATTCAGACATGTCATATGGAAAAGCAGGAATCCATGAAAGCATCATTGCTGGTTTCTACAAAAATATTAGTGACTGTAGAAAACCAAAATATTTTAGTGTCTTTTAAAGAGAGCCAAGGTCTCCACTCTAATAAATGCTAAAATAAATTGCATTTAACTTAGTCTTTGTAGTAAATCAGAGTAGCATACCAAATTTAACATGTTTGAAATCTCTTATAAGAGAATATCTCACACTGAAAAAAGAACTGATAAAAAAGTATGCCAAGTCTTGAAGTTCAAGGTAACAAGGGTCAGGCTTTGCTATTCTCTGGAAACTGTTGAAAGAAAAGATGCAGCAGTTACTCTGCTACTTTCTTCTTAAGGTCATAATGATCTTGACACATGAGGCCCATTGGAAAGTCCACAAACTGCAGTTCCTGGAGTTGTAAATTGAGGTGTCAGGAGTGCAACTAAAACAAAATTTAAAAATCCAAGTGTTTATGTTTGTTCCTATTATTTACACAGGCTCAGAAAGTCAGAAGGGAATATATTCTGTAGTGTAACTGCAGGACTTGGTTTCAAATGTAAATGGTCACTCAAAAATCCAGAGCAAAGGAGAAACATCAAAAGTCACTTTGTAGTTACATTACATTAACTGCTACAATACTGTACTGAAGACACAGTGATACTAGCAATTAAATTACTCTAAATAGAAGGAAAAATAGTTTCTCAAACAATAAAGAAAGAAGATATCAACTTGTTAAATGTGAAAATATTTTTTTAATTTAATAGAACAGAAAGATTTGGTTTGATCAAGATGTTACTAAGAAAATGAGTCCTACTTACAACAGTCTCCAAAACAAAAGGATTACTGATCATTCATACTTTGGATCATGCAGTCTACTAGAAAGGAGGAGAAAAAAGTTCCTCTCTATCACTTTTCACGATCGCACATTCTGCAACACTACAAAAATTAATTCCATGTATATTTTAATGCATCCTAGACTAAGTCAATGTTAAAAGACTTACTGATCTGAAAATAAATATCTGAGATGAGGTTCTTAAAGTATTCTTTATTAATATAATTAGAAGTTGCAGAAACAACTTGTAATATAAAGGCACAGGGAGACAGTTTTGATAAAATTTTCCAATCAAACAGTAACTTACAGTACAAAAGGACAATTGTAATGCACATACAAACCCCAAACATCTCATTCAAAAATATTTCACCATGTTCATCAATAATAACGGGCAATGACTAAAAATATAAATTGTTATTGTACAATAAGTATCTGATAGGTGCAAACAGAACAAGATTTATTGCTCTCCACAACGTTTTCCCTGTAGTGTTGTGTTAGTTTTTTTAAAGTTCCAAATTCCTTTTACAATCAACTTTAGTAACTTATTTCTGAGGGAACTAAACCCCAAACCAAATCTGACAGGACATTCTGACAGCTATAGAACTGCCTCACGTAGTAACCAGAACTGGCAGTGTTTGTTTCTTTTCACAACTTTTAACAATCATACTCCACTCACTCATTGGGAAAGGTGATAGATGTATACAAATTAACTTTAGTGGTAAGTCAAGGCTTTTATATGTTACCTAGTCTGAGGGTTAGTCTATTTTCTTTAAATAAGTGGATTTTATGATGAAAAGGAAGAAAAAATAAAAACATTCTCTGGTAGCTTGGGTCAGAGCTACTACATAAAACCATTTGCAAATGAAGGGAAGGAAAAATTAAAATTAAAAGCCACATTGGGTACTCTTACTTCAGAAAATGAGAGAAGAGATTGGGAGCAAATTCAGACTACACAGGCAAAGATGACTTAAAGTGAGAATTGCAAATTCTGAAATATCCTCAATATAGTCATCTAAGAAATAAAAAAGTACTCTGCATCTTTATATGGCTCCAATTTTTGAGCTTTGAGAAAGAAGGGCCAGTCAATGAGCTTGCCGTTTTCCTCACCTTGCGTTTGCGGCAATTTGGTAAAGGAACATTTTTCATCAGTCTTCTGATGCAGTATGAGAGAAACACCAACTTTGCTCTTGAAAGTAACACCTATGACCTTGCTCAGATTTCTTTTTACCTTGTACAAAATATTTTATACAGGCATTTTAGAAATACTAGTTTCCTTCATTACTATCACAAGAATATGCATACATTTCCAAAGACTTCACGAAAATGAAGCGTTATAGTAGTTGTAAAAAAAAAACCAAAACCAAAACATAAGGAGTAAGCTCTGATGTGAGTTCCTGTAGCAGTAACTGAGGTTTTTATAAAAACTGTAATTCATGAGAACAACTCAAGATTTACACAAACCTCAACAAGTCAATTTTAACAGCACTGGGAATAGTCAAACTTAGTTCAAGGAAAGGAGTCTACAGTGAATACTGCTTAATCAGTTTAGCTGGTAAACCAAAAGATGAAGATTCAGAAAACTCCATTACAGTTGAATTCCACAGAATTGGGAATAATGTAAACCAAACTGCTAACTTTCTAGACATTATTATTCAAATCAAGGTTTTCTTCTAGCATAAGAAGATAATTTTAGAACTTCTTCAAAAAGTAACCAAGGACCACTGAAATTTTAATTCTGAGAACTATTAGCTTCACGGCAGTATAGCATTTTTTCTTTACTAGTTGTTTAGAAATTAATAAACAAAACCATTTTCTTTGGTTTATGCTTAATTACACCGGACAGAAGTTTTATTTTTAGTCAAGCTTCTATCCCCATTTTAAATTAATACAGATCATTTCCATTAGACTCTTTTCAATTTTCAAACTATCTGTGTTAAAAACAGGAGTTTGTTCATACCATGATTTCCTGTTAAACAGTCTTGTTTATATACTGGTAAAAGTTTTGTACAATAATTACATTGTTATTTCCAATGGTAGAACTACAAAAGACATCAAATTAACATTAGTTCAAATGACATTTGAGTTTATGATGATCTTAAAAAAAAAACTCACCATAATGTCTAAGCATAGTAAATTATGGTATAAAACCCCCTAAAATTAGACAGTAAATGTGGGAATCCTGAACTCACAGTAGGAATGTATTGGACAGCATTAACATGAAAGTCTGTTAAATCTGAAATAATGCAGACAGCTAGGTTTACCTGGATGTAAATGCCATTTCAAGGTGTTTAAACAAACACAGAATGAGACTATGTTGTCAGAAAAAAGGCCTTTAAAACAGGCCATCAGTTTAACTTGACTTTCCAAGTAAGAACATCAGCTTCACAAAACTGTGACACTAATGCAGTTTTATATAGCAAAGTACCCTTTGACACACAAGCTGTCAATTAAGCCACCACAGTCTTTTTTGACCTACTCCCTTTTAAACTATTAGGGAAGAGAGTCAATAGTAGCTCAAGTTCTAATTCAGTAAGTACCTTGTCTGTTTGCAAAGGAACATTATAACACCATAAAACTATATTTTTATGGTATTTAGAAAACTGATAAACTAGCTTTTTTTTAGTTTTCTCTTTTTAATACATAAGTCCAAAACCTCATTTCCTATGCATCTTTGCAATAGTGTTCTAGACAGTTGCAAAAAGTTTTCACTGTGGACTACCTCACATTGTTACTTAACTGTGCAAGGTATTCACGAAGTTCTTTTGCAGCTTGGAATCTACCATATCGCTTCTTTGGGTTGGCACACTCATCCAGCAAGGCCTCAAGTCGGCCATCTTTGGCAATTTCAGCTGGGGGATCATGCAGTAGTCCTCCAGAAGTGCCACGCCATGTGGCATGTCTTGATAAAAGGTTCTGACAAATAGCGTAATAATTGTGGTCCACAGTGACACGAGCACAAAGAATCTCTTTTGAGAAGGACAGACAAGCTTCTTTATCACAGTCATCAAATTTGCTTTCATACCACACATCCCAGTTTTCAGGTTTATCTGTGAAATATAAGGAGACAGTGAAAAAAAGTGAGAGAGGAGGAAGGAACATACACATGTCTGAATACAATCAGAAGCTCAATACACAGCAAACTGGTAATATTTAAACTACAAACCAACTTTGTTTAGATGAACCCTTAAATGTTCTAGTCCAAGCTTGCACCTGACAGTTTGATATACCTTTCTGCTGAAATAGTCCTGGCAATACAAAAAATAAGGGAAAGAAAGAAACAGTAAAATAGCTAGCAAACACAGGGAAGTATTAAAAACAGCACACTAAACTCACGAAATCTACACTCACACACATAATCAGAGAAGAAAAAATGTAGCACAAACAAGTACCAGAGAATGATCCAGAGCTGAAGATGAGAGAAAACCAAACAAGTAATATGATTTATCTGAGCAACATAAATCTGGCTTCTTTGGTTGCACTGAGAACTACCACTGGTCTACAAAGAATAAAAAGAATACATTGCAACCTAATTGTCATAAACTGCTGAAACATTATCTTCCAACATCTTGCTTTAGATATGGTAGTAACCAAGAAGTGCATATTAAAAAAAAAAAAAAAAAAAAAGAGATGTTATATATAAACTTTGAAGAAAGAAAAAATTCAACAAAACATATGGCATTTGCATACATGTACAAACCCTTCTTAATCTATATTTAAAAAGTCATCAGAATTTGAAGGTGTAACTACTGGCCTTGTCACAAAACTTTCTTTAACTTGAAACACAACTTACAGAAAATACCTTCTACAATAGTATTTAAAAGGTCACTAAGTGTGCAATCTCATGAGTTCTTAACACTTTTTGTGAGAAGACTTTCATCGTAAATTTCTAGATTACTGCCAGCTTTGAGAAGAGGTCCTTGTCATGGAGCCATATAATTTTTCAGATCTCTTTTATCACTATGATGTGCAAAATAAAATTTAGTCTCTGAGCTGACTACTGGTCTACTCATTTATGGTGCACTGCAAGCCAGTCTAGGAAAAAAAAAAAGTCTACTGAAGGAAGACTGCTAAAACTATAAACATATGATGCAAAATTTGTACACTGAACAGAAAACTCAAAATGGAAAAAAAGCCAGCAACAAAAGAGAATGGCAAAAAATGACTCAGATATGATATCCCACAGAGAGTGCAATTAGATATTTCTCTACAGTGCAATAGGACAGAATGTACACATCTAAATATCTAAACAGACATATTAATTACTCTAGACAGAGATTGTTTAATAAAACTTTCCAGAAGAGTAATGAAATAAGTATTAAATACCAAGTTTTTAAAAGATTGAGAACTTCCTTTGTCTTCATTTGTTTCCTATGTTGTCGATTAATTGTTAGATTACAAATCATGCAGCAAAATTCTATTTAGATAAAAATTAGTCTGAGAACTACAGACAACAGATCTAAGTGTGACATTTTCAGCATTTAGCTTCTGCAAAAATCTGCTTGCTCATATTCTAGGTATACATCAACATTTTCAGAGTTCATCTGGTCATCTTTGTGACTGAGCAATTCAGGTATGTTCCAAAATTCAAGTCTTAAGTAATACTATTTTAACAGGGTAGGGGAAAAAAAAAAGAAAAAAAAAAAAAAGGAAGTCTGTGTGGCCCAGAAGTACCAAAGTAAATGTACTGGTTATCCAATATATTAAAAAGTTTTCTTGTTAGGCCCTTGCGAAAGTATAATAAATCTAACAATAAAAAACAACCAAACCAAACAAACAAAACCACCAAAAAAATCACTCCCCCACAAAAAATAACCAAAACATGCTTCTTTGTAAGAAAGTGTGTGCATAGAAAATATAGTCTCAAGGTTAATACAGCAGCATAGCATATGAAGTCTATTTGAAAAGCTCAAAAAAACGCATTCACTCAAAGCAAACTGGAATCACTTGCCATGAACTTCTGCAGAATCTAGGGTTTCACGTTCAATATCCCTAGCCCCTAGGTCTGTGAAGTTTTCCTTACAAGTTCAAAAGGAATATAAACCCATGTAATGCCACTTTGACAAACATCTCTCCTGCTGCTCCTGCTTTGAGCTTTTACATTTGACAGAAATATTAACAAATTTTCACTATTCTCATTTGGTAACAGCACTAAAATTACCTGTTCCTTCAGCTCCAGTATTACAAAGCATCAACCTAAACAACTGAACCAGAGGCAGGCCATGTAACTAGGGTAAAGAGGGTAGTAAGCCTGTCTTGTCATTCACAGATAATAGATCACCAAGACTTCTGTCCTTATAGACATTTGGAAAACACAAAAGGAATCTCTCTCTTTTAGCTCTGGTGGACAAGCCAGTCAGCCAGTCCATCTGTCTGTGCATCTGTACAAGACCAATCAACACCCAAACCCTCTCCTCCCACCCCCATCTCTCCATTTAAGCATGATTACAGAGGTTAAAAGTATATGCAAATCAAGTTCAGGTAAACTTGATAATTTGTAAAATTGACAAATTGGTCAAGTTAATTAGTAGCTTAATGGTAGAAGAAAGCTAATTAGATTGTTAATTAGTCTAGGTATAAAGCCAACAAATCGGTATCTAGCAACTACATACACTTTAAACATTGTGCTTGCAGTGAAAGAAGCAAGAGATATGGGGGGGAGGGGAGGGCAGAGAAAGAAGACACTTACTCTGTCTGATTAACCTTTTGTCTGCTACCAAAACATTTTCTGCATCTACAATGATAACTTTCCCATCTCTTGGTCCAACTGCAAAGTTGTCAAAGCTGACATCAAGGAGGTAGAGTGCAAATTCAAAGTCATTATTTGTCAGCTGCTCAGCTATTTCCATTAACTGCCAGGCCAGATCCACTCGTTTCTCCCATGGTGCATTAAAGTAACTCCACAGCTCTTCTCCAACGTAATTGACAGCCACCATTCTTCCACATGCTCCTAAGTACTTTGCAAACGGCCAACCCTCATCAGATGGAAAACTCTGTATATAAAAAGATTTTTAAAAATTTTCATTAATACAAAGCACCTTAGATTTTAAAAGGCTGATCAATACAATTTAGAAGACACACCTGTAAATGCCCATCAACACTACATTTCCATATACTTCTAATTTTTGAAGGAAAAGAAAACACAACACAAAATACATTTATGTAAGCAAGAGGCTCTGCTGGGCTTTTTTTTGGAGGACCTGAAATAATATACAATCTATATCTAGCTTTCTGTATGCTATATATACACATACACATATTCACACAGAAAATTCCACCAACTATCTTTTTCCATTGGTGATTTGTACACATTCATTGTACGAATGCAAATACTTCCCACCAAGATAATTTTGCATCTGTGTTTTTTATTAAAATGAGTTATTTTAATAATCTAAAGGAAAAAGCTTTAAAAAGTGACACCTCCTTCTCTCCAACATCTTCCCTACTCGTTTTTCCTAGTTGATTTCTCAGAGAAAAGGCTACAGAATGGACTAAGGAATAAAAGAAAGCTTAGGGTTTCTCATGCCTCTAGTAGTCCTTAACAATTTACCTCCTGATTAACTGCTATATACATACTCTGTGTGTTTGTCACATACAGCCACATAACATTTTTATCTAAAGTAAAACTTGCCTCCAGTAGCAGTTTTCTTGGAGGTTAACATTAAGAGACTGAATAGTAATTACATACTACAAGCAATTACAAAAAAAAAACACAACAACACCCACACCAGCATATTTTTCCTACCTCAGTTATGGTAAATGTGCCCTACGACTTCAAAATGAAGACAAACATTTAAAAGGTATCCTTCATACAATGAATCAGGAAGAAATCATTAAAATGTTAAATCAAGAAACCCAAATCATAGAACTGAAGAATACAATGTACATTAATTTTAACAGTTAGGAGATAGCACTGTGTGCATTAGCTTGCTATTCTGTCACCAGAAGCAACTCATAATCAGCTCCACACTGATGATGTAACAAAGGTTTTACCACACTTGGGTTGAACAGCATGGTTGGTTTCATTCTGAATGGAAGGTTTATAACTCCTGGAAATCTATGACACTAGAAAACACTCCTGGTAAACTGAGAAAAAGAGACACTTGAAGGAAACATAGCACATAGAACAGATCCGAACTACAAGATCAGTCAGGGAAGTGAGATACATACACACTTAAAAAAAAAATTAGAGATGTTAGAGTGCTTACATACCCAAACACCATAGCCTTAGCACCCATACCTCCCCTACAACAACCGTTAATTTTGTCTGTGCTTGTGCTTCCTTTGATAACAAAGTTTTGAGCACTTTATCTTAAGCACTAGGCTTCAGCTGACACTAAGGCTAGAATACTGATGTTGGTGAGAAACAGCAGAAGCTCTGTCATACACATGTAACTGTAAGCCACATTTACTCCCATGAATCAATACTTATTCTTAAAATGCAAACAGCATTTTAAGTTAAAGCTATAGTTAAAGCTATATTCAATTCACACACTCAGAAAATTTAGTATTTAAAAAGTCCTGAAAAAACAAAACACATTTGTTTAGATCACAATAGTCAATACATAATTTGAAATATCAAAACACACTTCAATCTTTATTCACAAAACTTGCTTGCATATTTCACTAGTCATTCTGTGTGTAAGCAGTAAGCATGCTTCCATGGCAGAAGCCAAGTTTCAGTAAAAACAGTTCTAATCAACTTCTAATCCAAAAAGTCACTGGATCAATGAATCCTATAGCAATATCCAAAAGAAAAATTCTTACAGTTGTCTTCTCTATCTTTTAAAAGACACTGCTGGCAAATACACAAAAAGAAAAAGTGAAACAGGAACATTTGTTCAGCACTGCAACAATAGTTTCTCTTGGTTATATTAAATTTTCATGATTTCACAACAGTTGAAGGTAAAATATAAAATCCGGTGGGGAGATTGTCTCCATCTACTAAGTTATTTCACTGCAAAACTGGAATCTTAGTTACAGAATTTACAAATGCTACTAAAGAAAACGTTCAGTAGAGCACATCAAAGCATCTGGGAAACACAAACGCTTCAATTTCTCCCAGCGATTCACAGGCAGCTTTCCTCATGCAATTCCCTTCTCACCCACTCTGAATTATTATCTGAAGAAGTACAAAATCATACAGAGGTGACTAGGAAAAAGGAACAGTTATTACTGAGAGTTTAGAAAATACTTCCTCCATCTTCCCCTTCAAAAAAAGTAGAGAAAAGGTGTGGGTATTCCTTTCCATTTCTAAGCCACTGCTAATGCAGAACACCACTCCAACACTCCATATGGCTCTCACATTGAACAGTCCAGCAAACCAGTTCACCTACCTACAGCACCCTCATTTCCACCCTCCTTCTAAAAACCTTCCAGAGGGAGAGAGAAGATTCAGGACTGAAGTTTCTGCTCTGGAAGGATGCTCAGAGCCCTTCCTTGGTTTCACAGGTAAGGATTGTTTATATATCTTACTCCAAATATACATCTGTCAAATAGTAAGGAATCAATGTACTTCTGATCATACGGCATGGGAGTACATGAAGCGTTTAATCCTTCAGCAAAAGAGCAGCCTTTACTAAACATTTATTTTGATAAAAGTTAAAACCAGAAAAGCTTTGGGCAAGTACTATTACCAAAACCATAAAACACTTAAGAGAAGGTAGCATCAAAGCACACAAGATTACCATTTTAAGATTTCCATTCAGAATACACACCTTATGATGTTAGTACACATTGTTGAATGTTATTGAGCTACTCTCATCAAGGAAAAATGCCCACCCTCATATTTAAGTGGCTTTTGTTAAAAGGGCATGACAACAGCCATTAAGAAACCTTTTGTTTGATATAATTAACACATTTAATAAAATGTTATGAAGGTCCTAATGGAGCCTGTATCTAAAATGAAGGCTGAATACCAGGTTAACTTGCATCTAGCTTCCAGTAGTCCTCCCCTGGAACACTTGAGAACATTGCAACTTGTTATCTACAGTGCCATTTTTTTTTAATATTTTAAATATAATTTTGAGATAGTAAAAAATACTCATTTGTTTATGTGTTAAAACTTTTTGATAGCTGGATCCTACTGGAAGCTGAGCATGCATCCAGTCTATTCTGGCTCAAGATGTCCTCTATGAAATTTTCAGGGACTTTTCAAAGTTTCTACGTAAAAAATCTTGTCTATATAATACATGTGAAGAAATTAAAATCATAATTAATATATATTTTTAACAAAATTTGCCATCAAAAGCCATTAAGCTAACCTCTAACACAGCAAGTGTAGAATTTTAGGGGAAATAACTGTGTTTACCATTGTAAAGAAGAAACTTTCTTGGTTAGTCAAAAGGACATCGGACCCATATTAACAGCAGAATAGGTTCAAAGTTTCCAAGATGCCCAAGTGTCTGGACTTCTACTTTATTTTGATCACCTGATCTGCCCAGATAGATGAATCTTGTCATGAAAAATAAAAAATCTGTATCAGTCTCAGGATTTTAGATTTGATTATTTTTTTAAAATTTGATTAATTTTTGAGACCAGTATGATGTTTTCAAGCTGTGATTTCATATAACTGAGCAGAACTGAATCTCTCTCACTAACTGAATCTACTATGCAATAAATACGACATTATCCAGTCTTCAGTTTTCCGTTCCATAGACTTCAGGGCAATTTATGAAGTTAGTAAGTACATTCAGGGCAAATATCCACTAGTTCAGTGCAAGTCAAGTGATACATTCCACATCTAAGAAGTTGGTGCTTTTTTGGTGTTTTTTTCCTTGTTTTGTGGTTGGCAAAATAACCTTCCATCAAATGAAGTCTGTGATAATTCAGTGTTCCTTATTTATTCTACAAAGAGATCAATATAATGAAAACTCATGCCTGTGGCGTCAATAACAACCACCAAAATGAGATTTCATGAACATTTCTCATTATTGTATTTAGTCTTGGACTAAAACAAACCAATAAGCAAACGGCTTTTCTCCATCAAATGAAATTTGTTATTTACACAAGCACTTGTTACTGCACTCAAAAAGAAGCAAGCAGGAGTTGGTGCTAAGGCATAACCTCCAGAGAACTCTGGGCAATTCATTCCAGTGAGTGGGATCAAGTGACACATGGAAAAATTCAAAATACTGACTACCAGCATCTATCGGGAAAAAGCCATACAGCTTACTAATGCGAAAGACCAAAAATGTGTATGTAACAGTCCTGTACCCATGCAAGTTCCCTTTTCCATATCTTACAAATCTAAGTATCTTAAAATGAAAAAATTCCCTGATTACACTTTTTTGATAAGCACAGGTTTAATTGACTTCAGCTGAATTTTATCAGTACTCAATGCAATAAATTCAATTCAATTGCTACAGTAATGTGTTTGGTTTGCCTGGCCAGATTTCAGTGGTGGGGGTACTGTAGGGGTGACTTCTGCAAGAAGCTGCTAGAAACTTCCCCTAGGTCTGATAGAGCCAATGTCAGCCAGCTCTAAAGACCAACTCCTCGCTGGCCAAGGCTGAGCTTATCAGTAATGACAGGATAGGAATGCGCCTGTGAAAACACATTTAAGAAGCGGAGAAAAAAATACAACAAAAAAACTGCACCACACAACAGCTAGCAGAGACAGAGGACAGAAGAGTGACAATATGTGAACACATCAAGGTCAGTGAAGAAGAGGGGAGGGGGATGTGGTCCACGCGCTGGAGCAGAGACTCCCCTGGTTCGTGGTGAAGACCATGGTGAGGCAGGCTCTTCCTTGCAGCCTGTGGAGGTGACAGACTGTAGATATTCGCCTGTGGAGGACCCACACTGGAGAGGGTGGGTGCCTGAAGGGGGCTGTGACCCCGTGGGAAGCCCATGCTGGAGCAGGTTGCTGCCAGAGCCTGTAGCCCATGGAAAGAGCCACTGGAGCCATGTGGCTGACAGGACTTTTGTGACGTCACGGGGAACTTGTGCTGGAGCAGTCTCCCCTGAAGGACTGCACCCCATGGAGAGACAC